ACCCACCCACCCAACTCATCCAGGGCCCAGGGCCCAGGGCCCAGGGCCCAGGGCAAGCTTGGTCATTGCAACCTGGTTCTCCTCAGACCTCAGCTTTTTCAGTGGTCTGAGCCAGTTGGTCAATGGCTTTTGCCTCCAGGGCACACTGCTAACTCCTCTTCAGCTTCCTCACCAGCACATGTCTCTTTTCTCCTCTTCTCCCTGTGACTGGGGGAATAAGCTCACAGTACAACTGGAATCTCTTAGACACAAATGCTGTTTTAAATGCTACCTTCTTGGTGTCCAGGGGCTGTGGAGGAGCTGCAGGAGCTGCCCATTAGCTCTTTAGACTGCCACATGTATGCCAGGGCTGATGGCATATATCGTCCCCTCTGGAAAGGAGTCTGGAGATGTGAGGAGAGGGTGGGGATTCCCCATGTGCCCGGGTCTGGGCAGTGAATGGAGACTCAAAATAGGGATCGTGGTACAGAGCCAGGTCTCAGGGAGAAGGAAACAGGGTATCAAAGGTGGACAAGAGATGAGCCCGTCTGTGCCATGGTCCCTGGACACCCTGGGGAAGCTGCCCCCAGGGCACCTGGAACAAGCCAGCCCTGCACCCTGGCCATTTCCGCCTCTGGCCATACACCCCAGGCCCAGGGAGGGACCTTTGCTGCATGGCCAGCTCCATCCTCCTACTGGGCTCAGTGCCTGCAGGGGGCATGGCCAGACCTGGGCGATCTCTCCTGGCCTAGACGCTGCCAGACCCTGCATCACGGCTGTCTGCAAACACCAACATGGGATTCAACTGGGGTTGGGCACGGGCAGGCAGCAGCGGGAGGCTGCCAAGTAGGGGTCTACTTGCGGAGGAAGCAGAAAGGGCTGCCATGGGGCCTGTTCTGGGGTGACATTTCACCACTCCTCAATGCACCCCGGTCCATGTAGTGTTTGAGAGCATGTGGGGCAGTGGGGCTCTGCTGACCCAGCTGTGGAGGTCGCTTCTCACCCAACGGTCCCCAGCTCTGCCCACGGTCAGCCCATAGGCACTGCCACAGTCCCTCTGTGCTGGGCCTTGAGGTTTCTCTGTGTGCCCTTCTCTGAGCCCATGCAGTTACTCACAGTGCCTGTCTCTGCTTCGAGCAGTCACCACGACCTTCCTGCATCGTCCCAGGAGATCCTGGCCAGGCTGTCCTTGGAGACGGGCTGTGATGTTCCTCAGCCCACAGCATGTGCTGCGTGCCAGCCCAGGAATGTTTCTTGCAGAAGAGCTCACACTCTGCTGGGGGCATGCGTGAGCTCTGCAGGATGTCCTCACACCAGAATTCTTTTTGGTGCACAGCGGAACTATTGGATCCCAAAGTAAGTTCCACTGAGTGGGAGCTCTGAGTGTTGCACAAACGCTCACAAAGACTTTTTTTAAAAGGAAAAAGAATTTATTGGGCTGTAATGACTCCAGTGCAGTGGGGGGTGCCTGCAGGCACAACTCTGATACCCAACTCCACCACCATTACGACAAAGAAGAAATCAGTTTCATACTGACACCCACACCTGATGTGCCGTAGCTCCTGCAAAAATTGGTCTCTACTCCAAGCTCGTTCTCAGACAACTCATGCTGGATCAGGGGCTCTGGGCCTTGTCTCAACAAATGTGGAATACCTCCATTGGCTGAGACACTACCGTCTCCCCTGGGCCCTTACTCCAGTGTTTGGCTCTGAGGGATTTCTCAGAAAAACCCCAATCTGGCGCTCTCAGCCTCTCCTGGTACATAATGTGCTCCAGGCCCCAGCCATCTTTCTGGCCTCTGCTGGACTATCCACAGTCTATGAGGGTCTTTCTCGTGCTGGGGACACCCACACTAGACACATCAGTCGTGATGCAGTCCCCAGGCAGAGGTGAAGGGTCACTTCCCTTTCCCTGATGGCTCTGATTTTGCTAATGCAGCCCAGGCTATGGCTGGTACTCCTTGTCCCAAGGGCACACTGCTCCCTCCTGTCCTGCTTGCTGTCCACTCCCAAGTCCTTTTCTGCAGAGCAGCCTTCCAGCCAGTCATCCCCAGCCTGATCTGCACATGGAGTTGTCCCAGCACAGCAACAAGATTAACAAGGCATTTGTCTTTGAGGAATTTTGTGAGGTTCCAGTCATCCCCTTTCACCAAGCTGTCAAGGACTACTACCTCCACCTCTCTCTTCACCCAAAAAGCCTGTCATGTCATTGCAAAAGGCATTCATGTTGGTCAGGCACAATTTGCCATTCTTGAGTTTGTCGGCATTTCCCAATCCCATTCTTGGCCTTCAGGTGCTGGGAAATGGCTTCCTGGAGGATTTGGTCCATCATCTTCTCAGGCATGGATGTGAGGCTGACAAGCCTGTCGTCCCCTTGACCTTCCTTTTTGCTCTTCCGGAAGATGGGTGGGATGTTTGCCTTTTCTCAGGCATCCGGAACCTCCCTGACTGCCACAGCCTTTCCAGGGTGACAGAAGCAGCCACACAATGACTTTGGCCAGCACCCTCCCTTTGGCTGAAACTCTTCGTGTCACGTATGAGTGAGAGTCATGTATGTCCAATCAGCTTCCTGAAAGTCTCTCCACATGTCCTTGGTCACTAGGCACCCTGCCCCACTGAGCAATGGGCTCACACTTTTCTTTGCATTCCTCTGGCTGCCAGCACACTTACTGAAGCCCTTCTTGCTACACTCTGCCTCACCCAAGCAGTCCTCAGCCTGGGGGAAGCTCTGCCCTGTGCATGAGGAGGGTGGAGGGACGAGGACCAGGGAAAGCTGGAAAAAGACAGAGCAGCTCTGCAAAAGGCCAAGGGAAAACACATTGCTGAAGCTGGGCCTTGTATCTGTGGGCCATCAGTCTAAGGCTCTCCCAGCTGAGCTACTTCTGCCCTGCCCCAGGAGCCCTTGTCCTGGTGCCAGCCCTGCCTCGGTGCAGACCGGAACGCAAGAAGTGTGCTCCTCAGGGAGGTACCTGTGACTAGTCCAACCCCACAGACGGGAGTTGACTCTCCCTGCCCAGGCCTGGGAG